AGACATAAAAATAATTGTATTTTTAAAATAAATAAGTAGCAGGAAGAAGTTGGCATTCACAAACCATTTTTCAGGCAGCCACTATTTCTTCCTCATTTTTCAAACTACACAACTGATGCTCACAGAAACTGAGTGACTTTGCCTAGCTAGGCTGAGTGGCAGTGGTAGCTTCTGGTTCAGTCCGGAGGCCATGCTTTTGATCACCAGGGTCATGGACCTGTTGAGGGAGTATGGCATTTCCTGATAGTTAGAATATTATTATTATTATTGTGTGTATGCTTGTGTATATGTGTGTACTCTCATACCATGGCGTGTGTGGAGGTCAGAGATCAAGTTTGTGAAGTCTGTTCTCTCCTTCTACTTTTACTGGGTTCTGGGAATCAAACTCAGTTCAGACTTTGATGGCAAGTCCCAAATCAGTTGAGCTGTCTTTCGGTTCCCTGAAGGATGTTTTTGAGACAAAGACCCCCTAGGACCCACATCATCCCTTTTTCCTGTTGAAGCCCAGAGGAGGCTGGGTATAGTCGCAATGGCTGGGAAGCCCTATTGCTTCATCTGAAACTACACTGCTGACACACTCCTTGGGACGTGGGATCCTGGGAAGAAAAGCAAAAGCTGGCTGCATTCTCCTCGAGTGACGGCTGCCTCCTGACCGTCTGTCCTCTCAGCTTGGTGTCGGGTCTCAGAGTCAGATTTATAATTTCCTCTCAGTCCTCACAGTACCTCAGAGAGACTGTGGCCAGGTAACAAAGGATGTTTGACCCAGGTAGGAAGTGATACTCCCTCATGCTGTGGGATTTGCTGTCTGTCATCCAGAAGCAGAGGTGGAACAAAAGCCATGTAGAAAGGAACCATACACGCGTCCACCTTGTCCGGTGACACCATTGAAAGACAGTGCTGGGAAGAACATCGGCTCTGCCTCTGCCCGAAAACCCAACCTGCTTTATCAAGTGACTCTCAGCATTCATTTAAACTGTATTTAAGTGCGTAGACTGCCCACTTCAAAGCTAAGGCTAGTCTGGTAAGGAAAGTATGCATACGAACGCTTCCACCCACTCCTGGCTTTCCTTGGCCGTACTACAAAAGGATCACTCCCAAGTCTGTATTTGTTTGGCTTTGTGGGGATCTTGGTTTGGTTACCCTCTGTATTTCTTGTCCTGTTAACTGGAAGTTTATTTGAGCTTGGCATTTTATTCTTAGGGAACCGATGACAGTTTTGCGGCGTGAAGTCACCAGCCTATTTGTTGATTCTATTTGGAAAAACAGTCAAGAGAGGAGGGAGGAGGTCTAGCTTTCCACAAAAGTCCTCTGGTGGATCTGTTTTGAGGGGCAGAGTAGAGCCTGTCCCAGCTCGGTCACGGGGAGTATGGGCTGCAGAAAGCTGTGGAAGTAACCTCCAGTGCCGCCCAGTGTCTAGCCCCTTTGCCTGGGCTTCTGGGAGAATCTCCCAGCTCTCCTTCCTGGAACTTTTCTAGTTCCTTCTCTACAAGCATCTAGAGTAGTGGCTCTCAACCTTCCTAACGCTGCAACCCTTTAATGCAGTTTCTCAGGTTGTGATGACCCCCGATCATAAGATTATTTCATGGCTTCTACTACGTAACTGTAATTTTTGCTGCTGTTACGAATCTTAGTGTAAATATCTGATGTGCTGGATACCTGATATGTGACCCCTGGGGAAAGGGTCGTTCGACTCCTAGAGGGATCCTGACCCACAGGTTGAGAACCACAGATCTAGCGGGAGCTAAAACTAAAAAACTGATTGCTGCCCCACCATCCACGAACACTTGGATGCTCTCTCTGCCCCCACCCTCACAGGTTACCATCCAGTTTCTCAACAAGATTTATAAAGTTCAGCTGTAGCAGCTTCATCTCTACAAGCCATTCTGGAACGTTCCAGAATTTTGATGGGGGGGGGGGCTTGGAGGCAGCATCTGGGTGGAGGAGGTTGCTGGGGTAGTGTAGGAAGGGCATGATGAAGATTATATGGGGGCTAACACATGTTCCCTCCCCAGCTACCGTCTGGCATGTGGCCTTCTCCTTGCTCTGCCTGGCAACTGTATGCCATGCTCAGTTCCTCAGGCGGTGAGCTGCGCCTCCTCTTTTCTTCTGGGACCCTATACAAGGGACCCTTACCCAGGATCCGTCTCTCCCTCTGAAGATAAGTCTGACATCTTCAGCCTTTAGCTCTTGGCCCCCACTCAGGCCCTCCGCTGCTTGATTATTTTAGCATCATAGCATCCGCTCTGAGGTCTCTCTCCTCTCTCACCCTTCTTTCTTACCTGTCAGCTCTCCTTCTCTGTGCTCAACCCAGCCTAAGCCAAACACAGAGTTTTCTTCAAAGTCTCTGGACACTCATGTTCTTTGCCACTCTTTGGTCCCATTTAAGACACCTCATAAGTTCTCAGTGCCTGTATCTTCAGGTTCCAAATTGCAACTGTCTTATAAATCCTTGAGGGTTAAATGTAATTTTCTGTTTCCTCCCAGGTCTCCAGAGCTTACAGTGGCCAGTGCTCGGTATAGAGCATATGGAGGAGCGGAGTCCACTCCTGGGAGTCTTCTATAGTAAAGAGAAGCTGACCATTTGTGGAGCAGTTGTTAGAAGCCTGCATGAGGCTGGGCAGCACTTACTGCTCTGGTTGGCCTTTATCAAACACACTTCTCAGAGACTGTGTTAGTGAAATGAATTTCTCCTGCCATTTAAGGCCCAGGTTCTCAGACATAGCCATACTTTACAGTCTCCTAGAGACTTTCGTAAAGCACAAGTGCCAGGGTCCTATGCAAAGAGACTTTGATTCAGCAGATATATCCGAGATCAGGTTCTAGGGAATTTGTTGGTGCGCAGAAGACTTGTAATGGGGTGAATGGTACCACTAATGCCCTCTAGGACTTCACTGTCCTATTTTTTTAAATATGTTTCAGCCCGAACTTCTAGGTTACTTTTCCTTCAAGTGAAGACAAACTCTTTGTGGATGGGGGGTGTATTTGACATAACTTTGTATTAGTCTCACAATAAAAATCAATAAGTCAAAAAGCACTGAAAAGCTTCTTCTCTTTATTCCTTGTAAAAGGCAAATGTGTGCATGTGTGTGTGCATGCTATGTGTGTATGCTTGTGTGAACATGTGTATATACACATATACACACTTAAGCATACATGTATTTGTTCTCATATGCATATACTATTATATACGGCATATGTGCACATGTGTACATTCCATTATGTCCACATGTATGCATATGTACATTGGTGCATACATGCATAGAAATGCACATGCCATGATAAATAAGAGTATATGGATATACACATAAATACATACAAGTATGTTTATGTATATACATACACAAGAATGCATATATGCACATATATATTAATGACAGCTTGCATATGTATGTGCTATTATATATGTGCACACAAATGCATATACACACAAGTATACACATACACATGAAAGTGTATGGATGTGTGCACATGCGTTTGTCATTATATGTATATATGTCTGCACATGTCATTATATATGTGCACATGCATATATGAACATATCATATAATTATATATGCATATATGTGTCTGAATGCATATTTATACTGTTTGTTCTACATGTTCATGCATCAATGTTCACATGACTGAGCACATGCACATGTATGTGTGCATGTATATATACCTAATTATGTGCGTGTGCCTATATCAGTGTATCTGTATATAATTATGTGTGCATGCTTATGCTGTTATATATGTGCATGTGAATGCATATTCATATGACTGAAGACACTCATATACATGTGTGTGTGTATGTATATGTCATTATATTAGGTGTGTTTATATATGTGTGTGTGCATTAACATGGTGAGAAGGACCAGCTGATTACCTGGATAAGGCGCACAGGATTCTGCATGATGTCTTCACCCCCGAAAAGATAGAGCCTTTGGTCCTTCACTGCCACGGCAGGGTTGAGCACGGCCACTGGCATGTTAGCCATGCTCTCCCAGACATCACGGATGCTGTCGTACCTCTCCATGGAGCACAGGAGCTCCTGACCTTCTCCGGTGCCCCCAATGGAGAAGATGAAGTTCCTGTGGGTGGCGCTCCTGTGAGAGTAGCGGGCTGCCAGCATGGGCTGCCCCAGCCTCCACTGGTTGAGCTTCAGAGAGAAGATGTAGACGCTGCTACTGATGAGACTCTTCCCCTCGCTGACAACCATGCCCCCAAGCACATAGACACTGCGGTGCAAGGTGATGGCGGAGGCCTTGTACAATCGCGTTGGGAGTTTGGCTAGGCTCTGCCACTGACCAGTCCGTGCACTGTAGAGCAAGACGTCCCTGGTGGTCTGCTGGCTGTCCTTCCGCCCTCCCAGGAGGAGGAGGAAGTCTTGGTAGGAGCTCCTTGGGGGGATGTGCCCCAGAAGGTCGCAGTCCTGGGCGCTGGGGCTGTACACAGAGAGTATCTGCTTGCTGGCTCTCTCCAGGATGGCCTGGCAGGCGGGAGAGGACTGGAGAAGGGCATCGCTGGCAACGAAGTGGTGGAAGAAGGCTGGGTGGATGTACTGCAGGCGGACCTGCTGCAACAGCTCCTGCATGTGCTGCCACCGGGCCTTGAGGTCGTGCTTGACCCAAGCCATGAGGGCCTCAAACACCGCTTCTTCCTCTCCGCAGAGCCCGTCATCTCCCAGGTAGCCTCTCAACTCCATGGCACAGAGCTCCTTCAGGTCTGCTGATGCTGCTACCTCCGGGAAGCAAGTCAGGGCCACCTCCCTGGCTTTCTTCCTCAGGCTCTCACAGTTTAGGATTTCTGCGAGTCTGACCAGGCCCAGGCAGTTGCCGGGGGTCAGCTGGCTCTGCAGGTATGACGAGCAGGCCTCGAACATCCTGGGGTACTGCAGCATGGCAGCTGCCTCCATCAGCGGGAGGACGTTGGCAGCGGAGATGTGCACCTCTCCCGTGTACGCATACGTGATGACGTGCTCGAGAGTTGTGGCGTCGATGCCGTGTAGCTGCACTTTGGCCTCTCGGCTCTCCCGGAAGTGACTGCAGAACATTGCCTTGAAGTAGGGGCTGCTGGAGGCCAGCACGTTGCGGTGGCAAGGGACCTCCCAGGCTCCCGAGCAGATGCTCACATCCGTCAGGATCTTGCTTTGCCTTAAGCCGTTGAGCTGCCTCAGCAAGTCAGAGGAGAAGTTGTGGTCTTTGAAGACAACCCCATCTGGTAACTCCTCATCCATCCTACAAAGAAGGAGGGGAGTCCTAAGTGGAAGCAAGGCCAAGGCTTTCTGGCAGTGGCTACTGTGGGGGCTCCAAGCCTCATTCACCGCTATCCGTTTACCAAGTGGGACCACAAACAGAACACACTGAAGATGAAAGAGGAAACCACCCTCCCCGCAGACCACAAAGTGGTCTACTTCAAGCTGTGCTTATCCTCAGAGATAAAAGACACATAGCATCTCTCGCTAATCTTAGGCGTCTTCCAAGCCAAGCTGATGGTCGGGGACTCACATATTAGCCCGACAGGAGGGAACAGTGCGTGCATTTGACAAGACGTATGCTTTTGTCCCGATCCTCGGCAGGCTTGTCCGTAAACACAGCTATGAATCTCTTTCTGGGGGTTAGTTATTCCCCAAGGCTGACATTCTGGGGGTGTGGTTTTCTGGTCTCCAGACAAAGGGGAGGGGTCACACGGGGCTGTTGCAAAATCTAGGGAGAAAACTGCATGGGCTTTGGGTTTTTAAAGATGGCATTGGCAGAACAAAGACCAAACACTGCTGTGGCTCACTGGTGACACAGGCAGTCTGCCCGCCGAGGGAGGAAGTGTTCGGGACACTTACCTTGCTTGACTGCAGTGGCATCCACAGATGCTGGGTCTGTCTCGTCCCCTCAGAAGATTTCTACCCTAGGCTCTGGAGAAAGCCATAAACGCCAGGCCTTGCCTTCTGTTGGCAGACTCTCCGTCCTAGGAGAGTTCCTGGTTTGTTTATGCTGCAGCTCTTTCACAGCTTCTGGGCTCTGTGCAAGGGCTGCCGGGCAGGCAGGCAGTGTATACATTCCAAGCCTAAGAATAGCTGCATATGTCCTTTCCAATGTTATGACATGTGACTTTCCAGTTGCCTTTTGCAGCCACCCGAGGGCCTGCAGGGCGGCGCATGCCCACACGCCTTGTTTCCCTGGCGAGTGTTTACATCGGCATAAATAGAAAGGGAGGAACGAATCCTCCGACGGAGGCTTTGCTGTCCATTTGGACGCATCCCGAGTCCCTTGTCCTAAGAGTGCCTCGGAACTCTAGATGTCTGTAAACAGGTTGCTGTGACCTGTGCAGAATCATTGAAGACAGCCAGCTCTGGGTCACAGTAGAGGTGGCAGATAGTCATAGGAGAGGCAGAGAAAGGACAGAACCTTGGGTGCTGTTCAGTAGGTGTCCATCCACCACCTCCTGCCTGGCAGGACTGTTGTGAGGGCTGTGGCTTCCCTTTCAGGTCCCAAGGCAAAGGAATCCATAGCAAATGCTGTTCTCTCTCTCTCTCTCTCTCTCTCTCTCTCTCTCTCTCTCTCTCTAATTGTCAATCATTCTGGGGTTTCTAGACTTGTGAAAGTCCTAACCCTAATTAGGCCTCCTGTCCCTATAGTTCTCTCTCTCTCTCTCTCTCTCTCTCTCTCTCTCCCCCCCCGCCCCCTTTTCCCTCTCTCCCCTACCCTCTGTGTCTGTCTCCCTGTGTGGATATGTACTCTGACTTGTACTAACTGTGTTTGTCCCTGTCACCTGCCCCTTCTGGACATCTCCTAGCTGCTCTTCAGTTGGGCTCCCTTAGACCTCAGGCTTCCTGTTCTGCCCCCTCTCACCAGAGAGAAGTGAGTTAGGAGCAGGAGGCAAGGCACTTTGGTCCAGGGAGAAAGAGCACGGTGAATAATAGGATGAGGAGAAAGAAGAGAAGGGAGTGAAGAAGAGAGAAGGGAGGGATGGAGAAAGAAGGGGGGAAGAGAAAGCAAGAAGGAGGGAGAAGATGAGAGAGAAGACAGAGAGGAGGAAGAGGAGGAAGAGATATGGAGGAAGGGTAAAGAGGAGGAAGGGGAAAGACGAGGAAGGGAGGGAAGGAGAAGGAGGAAGAGAAGACAAGTTGGAGGGAGACAGAGATGGAAGGAAGAAGAGGAGGAGGGGGAGAAAGAACGAGAAGAGGAGGATGAAGAAAAGGCAATGTGGAGGGAAGAAGAGGAGGAGGAAGAGGAGGACAAGAAGGAAGAAGGGAAGTACTGGGGATGTGGTGGAGGCGACAGGGCAGGAGGCAGCCAGGCCCCCAGTGGTGCGCAGCAGAAGACCCGGAAGACTTGGAGCGGGAGGTGTGTCCCCTCCCTTCACTGCTGTCCACTATTGCTCTAGCCACGAGTGGCAACGAGTTCTAACTTCCTCTCCCCATACTGCTTAGACTTTCACAGCAGCTTCGTGTGCTGATTTTAGCCTTGGTTTGTGGTTCTCCCATCGCTACTACCTCTACCATGTTGCCACAGAGTATCCCCTGGGCAGACAAGTCAGAGCCTGCCCGACTCCGAACCACACCTCTGCTGTCTCTCCCTGTCAGCAGTACTTCTTAGCAGGGTCAGGTTGGTCTCTTCCCAGAACCATGTCTCCCACTTCCGTATTTTTATATTTGCCCCCGTAAACAACTTATGGATCCATGCATATATCTGACAGTATTTCTGTTTGGTGCCTGGTTTTTAAGGCACTCACGGCAGGGTAGAAGAAGCATTCACGTTCAGTTATACGTCATACCCTCAAAGAATTCAGGCGTCAACGTCACAATGTACATCCAATGCATGACATAGGGTCCGGGGGTCTAGAGGCAGGCGTATCAGTAGCAGAGAGCCTGTGCCAAAGGGGTCAGGGACCCAGGAGATGGAGTGGAGATGAGAGCCAAGGGCAAGGCTTGGGGATGCTGGCTACTGCCCTGCTTCTGAGCCATGCTGATGATGTAGGTGAGCAACTGCCTCTTAAAAGAGGCCTGGTGACCCTCTGTCCTGTACTTGGGACTTTTACGTGCCTTCTTCTCTTGATCCCCTCTTCTGTTTTCACTGCCCCCATTTGTCCTTCGAAATGTAGTCTGTGCCAGCTTTTCTGAAAGTCTGCCCTGCTCCTCCTCGCCGATCTGTGCTGTCCTCACGCCCTCTGCACCTTGGAGCAGGATGTGCCCCAGACTTCACAGCAGTCTGCTGGCCCACTTGTGTCTCCCCCATCAGTGTGGAGCCTCTGAATGTGGGTAGCTTGCCTGCTCGCCCTCTCCCCTCCTCCCCACTCCCCAGAGTCCAGTGCAGGATGTTCTAGTGGGTGGGTTCTGTTCAGTTCCTAAACTGAACAGAATTGAACAGAATCAGAATGGGTAATGGGGAAAAGGGGAGCCCCATGGGGGTCCCACCTGCTTTGTAAGAGTATGAGGGTTATTGTTTGTGCTTGGTGTGCAGACAGCAGTGTGACCCCCCCCCCCCAATGTCCCTTACTTTAATCAAATCCAACAATGTCACTAATGTGATAAGCTGAAAAGTCACATAATCGCTTTGTATAACAGAGAGAAAGCCGAGAGTGGGCTAAGGACCGAGCTTTGATCTTTGGGAGCTGGAACAATAGAGACACAGCTTCCTCAGGGCTTTGAATGCCTATATCACCATTCTTCTGGCTGCTAAACAAGCCGAGGGTGTTCTGAGGACAAAGAGCAGAATGAATTTACTTAGCCCTGGTCCCTGGAAGCCTCCTTGGATTTCTCCTCTAATCTTCTAATTAGGTCTTCCAGAACCAGGTCTGTCAAGTGTTTGGATGAGCCTGGGTATATATGGATAGTATCTGACCAGTTACAATAAATCTTTTAGTTTCTAGTACTTAGGAAAAAGCAGGCTCCATTCTGTTGACCTGGCCAAGTAGAATTTGGGAAAAGACACAGAACTGAGCTGTTTAACACATAGCAAACACACACACACACACACACACACACACACACACACACACACACACGTCTCCCCTACTCATGAGTATTCTCAGCCAACTTGTTCATACATCAATTTCTCTCTGACGGTTCTTTTCTTTCTGTCTTAAATACCCTTAAGAAGATATCTTAGTTTAGGGTTTGAGCATATGGTGACCTGAAATAAATGAGGACACCCAGCTCTATGTCCTTCCTTGTGAGGAAAACCAGTGTCACCGTGAATCAAGGCCTAGATTTTGGTAACAGGGGAGCTGGGGACAATCTTGGCATTCTTCTCTCAGAATCCATGCCACCTCGGGCATATTATTTATGTTCTTCCAGCCCTGACTCCCCATGTGTTAAATGGGGCTTGGCATCCCCATCACACACCAGTAACACGTGTGTAGCTCTGGTAATGTTCCTGGCCTAATTAATATTATCCTATTGCTTTGAACACAATCTCATCAGAGTCTGGCAGATCATGGTGTCAGGTTTGCACGGTCTGATTTGGTTTCCTGTTCATTTTAGCTGTTTATTTCAGTCGGAGCAAAGAATTGAGATGTTCCTAATCCTGCAGAGACTCAACCTTTGCGGTCTTAAAGTCTAGTCAGAGCTCTGTCATGAACTGGTTGCATGTCCTTGGGCAAGTCACACACCTCTTATATTGGGCCCCATCTGGCCTTGAAGGTGTGAACCCTGATCTTTTCAGCTGTCCTGCTATGGTGTATACTCCAGGAATCCTCTGCAAGGTGAGGTATAGAAAGGCAACATGAAAGGGTGAGGCTCACACTGAGGCCTCTTCAGACTCCTGGCTCATCTCTGGCTGGAAGCCAAGTATAGAGCAGAAGGTCAGCCAGCGCCTTTTATGACTTTGCCCTTCTAAGTGAATCCAGGGAGGTGCCATTTCCTGGTAGAACTCTGTTCTGGCTCTGGAGGCCTTTCTTTCTCATCCATGTGTGTGGGGCTGGATTCCCACGGGAAGGGTAGGCCAGTGTGTCACCAGTAGGCTTGACTACTGGGATCAAGAACCCACCAAGCAAGTACGGACATGCACACACATGAGCACAGGGACATGCACACATGTGATATATGTACATATGTGCACGTGCACACACATGCCCTTAGGGTGTGTACCCTGTCTGCCTTTAGAGAACCCTGGTGGCAGTAGCTTCGAGGAGTAATGTCGCAAGGACATACTGCCTGTGAAGATTCCACAGCAGCTACTGTCATTGGAAGGTCATTCCCAAGTTTTATTAGGACACTTCCCGGTCCCACAGAGGGAAAGTGGAGGAGAGATGTGATGAGCAGATATGACAGGTTTGGGACAACTGGATCTATAAAAGCTGGAAGATGGAGCCTGCCTTGTTGGATGATGCCAGCCATCCTGAGCCACCGGTGCCACTCTGTGGGCCAATCACCTGCAGCTAATACACTGAGGAACAATTGCAGCTGTATTCAAAACGTATGTGAGTATCATCAAAGGCTGTGTGTGAATACTACATGGCTATTCCAAGGGACTTGAACATTGGTGATGTTGATACCCAGAAGGTCCTAGAACAAATCCCCAGCAGGTCCTGAGGGATGACTTGTGTAGCGTCTCTCTATCTGAGTCTTCATCTCCCTTGCTCTGGGTTTTTTTTAATTCCTCCCAGATTGTGACAAGTTGGACAAGGAATCTGTAGTCCCAACAATAACTAGAGGGGAATATGTCCCTTGATCAGGGGTTTCCTTGACTACTGCCCTCTGGGATCAAAGACCTGATATGACAGTCACTAGCCCCAACTCTTCCTCCATCTACAAAGACACTAGGGAGACAGAGGTTGTCTCTGTCCTCATAGCATCGGGTAGGGATGATAGAAAAATAATTCAAGAGCCCAAAGTGTTCTGAGAGGAAGCCTCCCTTAACTCTCCTTCCCATATCGTCCTTCCTCACCACCATGAGTTCTGGCTACTCATAGGAGAACTCACGTACACATCCTTGGTGAGCTCTCATAGCAGCCTGTTTCAATCAAGTCTCTCTCTCTCTCTCTCTCTCTCTCTCTCTCTCTCTCTCTCCACACACAC